CAAGGTACAGTCGGCAAGGGAGCAAGCCCCGGAAATCGCAGAAGAAAAATTGCAATTGCCAGGGCTCGAACCCACGCCTGAGCGACTGCTGTGCGGCAGTTTAAGACTTAAACCGCTCGGCCAAGCAGGCGCCTAGGTCTAAATTACAAGTTAAACGGTCCGAACTTGTATTAGCTCTATATTAGAAATAAAATAAGCGATAACACAACAAAAATTCTTTTTTTATCATTTTTCACCAAATGGCATGGGCCAGACTTGAAAATTAACTACGGCCCAGTCTTGGTTAACAGGCATGGGCCGGACTTGAAAATTAACTGTGGGCCAGTCCTGGTAGCCAGGCTTGGGCCAGCGTTATCATTCCAGTCTTAAACCAAGACTGGGCCAACTCTGGTTTACAAGCCTGGCCTAGAGTTGTACATAGTTGGGCCAAACCTGAGCCCGCTATACTTTCCTACATGGGTAGGAAATCTACTTCCATTTCGGATGCCGAATGGCACTTTCTTATACTTACATTTATTCATAGTTAACTGATGAAGAAAACATGTCACAAGCTTTAATCATGAGCTGCTAAACATCTAAGAGTAAAAACTACAGATTAAAAATTATCAATATAATTATTAGAAAAATATTGAGAATCAATAACCTGAAATTAAAATTAATTTCCAACATTTTTCTGAATTTTTTATTCTAGAATAATTGCGTAAACTATATAATATTTATTTTTCCGCAAAATTTATTATCTTTTATTAATAATAAAAAGTGTTTATTTTCAATTACTACAGTTATGTTTTGTAGACGTTGATTGATGTAGTAATGAATTGATATCTTTTTCACAATTTGAATAAGCCATTCCCAGACCAAAACCAGCGCCGATCACAATTGGCCATTTTCCTGTAAATAAAATAGAAACTCTAAATTATGACTTAAACTACACACTACGTCAATAATTTTATTTATCACACGAATAAACTCGTATTTCCGTAAGAATGATCGAAAAATTTGAAATGACTAGTTATTTAAAAATATTAACAATCAAATTTATGTGTATTTATATAAAAATGTACAAATAAAAAGTGTTGTATACATTATATCTCCCTAACGGTTTCGACGACTCCACGAAAACTCGGATTTTACGCGGAGTATACTTCTTTTTGGAGTTTGATCAGGGTATAAATGGAGTAAACGTGGTATTTCAGCTGCGTAAACGCGTGGTATTGTGTACAGTTACGACACATGATTTCGATAGCCTTTTGTCCAAGTTTTCGTGGAGTATTGCCAGTGTTTACACTGAGTATTAACGGAGTTTTGTCGGTGTTCTCATGGAGTTTTTCCAGCGGAATTTTCTGGGAGTATTTACGGAGTCAATGAGATCTTTCCACAGGATTTACTTGACGTTCTAGCCATGGTTTTCGGTTTTCCAAATAAGTACAACTTAGGTTATGTTTAGATAAATTAAGAACCAAAAAAAAATCGTTCACAATAGAAAATTCTTTCAATTTAAATTACGAAATTCGGTTCTAATTAGGGTAAATGTTCCAGTAGTTGACCGGGCACCAGTAGTTGACCGCTTTCATAAAAAAGTCCAAAAATTGTTATTAACTACATTTTTATGACCCTGAAATTTATTTTTAACTATTGTTGAACTTATAATCATTACAATGAATAGGTATTCCAAATATTATTTAATTTTTAGATCATCGAAAATAATTCATGAAAATTTTTCACCGCATGATCTGACTAAAATCGGTCAATTACTATAGTAGAGTATCCGAGAGGTGACTACATGTTTTAGTTAACAAAAAAGTTCCTCTTAGGTTAATCTTGTCAAATTAAATTCTGAAGTAGTCTTTAATAGTTTCTTAACAAATCTTTCAATAAGATTTTACAAAAATAATCAAATAAATACCAATTCAACCACCGGTCAGACACTGGCACAATAAAACACCGTTGTACCATCAACAAATGTCTTCGGCCATCTACTGGAACCTGCTATTTTTCAAAATACCAGTAGTTGACCGCATACACAGTTGTAAGTTTCTAACCTGTATAAAATAAAAATATAAATATGTTTACGTGATAATTTAATGTTTACATGAGTGTTGTTATTTGAAATAATTTATCATTATTAATTTATTAGTAATAAAGAAGTATTTATGCTCAGTGTTTAATGTGTTTCAAATAAGATGACTGTTGAGTCAAGTTTAAATTTGTACACTGATAGAAGGATTTATTAGCTATTAATACACTGAGAAAAGGGTATTTTGATTGATTTTAGAACTTGTAACGGGTGGTTTATTTCCCGCTCATTGGTCCCTTTTTTAAAATTAATTAAAACAATGCAACAATTAAATAAATGATTCTAAAGTAAATAAGGGCGTCACACTGAGAAAAACGTATTTTGATAATCACAATACCTGGTATTTTGATAATCTAAATATCAAGTATTCTGATTATCAGAATACAAGTCAATTGAAGACCTATACTCTGCGCAGTAAACTATAATACATGCGCTGTCACTGCCATCGACGTTTTAACACTAACAGTCAGTTTATTTGATTTATGCACTGGTAAAAATAGAATTCAACTAATATTTATTATATTAGCTTGAAAAAAATTTATTATTACACTTTTAATTTTAATTTTAATTTGTTTTGTTAGCTTTATAAGTCATTTGACTTGTGTCAGTAAAGTGAGGTTATAAACATCTAATAGTCTGTTATATTGGTATACTGATAATCAGTATACCAAGTATTGTGATTAATCAGTATACTTATTTTGATAATCAAAATACTACGTATTCTTAGTAGCACAATACCAAGTATTCTGATTATCAAAATAAATACTAGTATACGTTGCGCGCGCAAGCGCGCGTGTGAATGTTGGTATGGAATTATCTATATTTTCATGCTTATGATATGTTTGACCAATCACGTTACGAATAAAATGTCTTCATCAATGTATATTTTCATATTTTTCATCTAAATTATAAGAGTGGATCCTTAGTAGCAAAATACTTTTTTCTCAGTGTAATTTAATTTATTTAGGAGGAAAAAGTACATTTATTAATAGTTAAGGTAGTTCGGCCCTTTAAGCAAAAATTCAACAAATCTCCCAAACTCCGTATAGAAGTAGTTAAATACATAATACACACGCTATTAAAATTTAGAGACGATTTACCACGTCTAACCGAAGATAATTGCAGTTGAAAATGACATTTTTACACAGGCGGTATGGGAAAAGAGAGAGAAAACCGCGAGTTTTATTATTTTTGTATTGAAGAAAATTTAAGAATTTCACGAAAAACTAACATTATTTAGATTAATACATGTATAATTACCCTACAAAATTCTGGAATTCCCTACCACATAGTTTTTGAGAAATCATTGATAAACTAGTAAAGTAAACAAATAAAGTCATGCGTGGAAGTAAGTGAGCAGTCCGAGCTATCTAATAATTTTTTCTCGCATATTCTATAAACTCACATTAAGATGATCCTCTCCACAATCCTTTCTCAATCCTTTCCTACCAATTATCCTGTTACGTAAATGTTGGAACGCTTCACGTAATAATTATCCGTAACTCCTATTCTTTCCCGCTTCACAGCATTATTTATATATTTGTAGCCCGTAAGAAAGGCAACACTAGCGCGTGACGAAGACAGCAATAGCATAAACTATAGGTTGGGAAAGAACTACTTTAATAAGTAATTTTTCGTCCTAGGCGGACGTATGGGGGTTTTTAACTGCGTTTAAACTATTAATTACAATAAAATTACATTTTATTATTTACTAGAAATTTGAATTAATTAATTTTAACTAACCACTAATGAATCGTGGCCCGGTTTTTGCGAGTTTCTACCTATGACTAACTTCAAGACTTTCATGTATTTTGAATTAGAGGGTTATGGCGTCGTACGCTATTTATTTACAAATTGAGTTTCCCCTGCACGTAAAAACCCTCATACTTCCGCCATAGGACGAAAAATTTTTTAAGCACCATGGGCAAGTCACGCGCAAATACGGTCTCGACGATAATTATTTGCAGCAGGGATATAAAGCCTCGGGCCTATCGGGCCTCGGCTTTATACTATCCCTGCTGAAAATACTTATCACCTCGACCGTATTGGCGCGTGACTCGCCCAAGGTACATAAATAACTAATACAGCCCAGTAGATACTGGCGCGTACGCGTATTGTTTACAGATTGAGTATCGTCTGCACATAAAAACCCCCATACGTCCGCCTAGGACGAAAACATACATACATACATACACACCCACAAATGGTCAGAATCGCTTTCTCGGACCTCAAAACGTTGATTTCTGATAAAAACTCCATTTTCGAAAAACGGAGTAAAACCAATAGCTTCCTAATTTAAAAAAATTTTCAATTTTCTCAGCGGGAAGTTAAAAATTCAAAATAGGGCTTTTAAATAGGTAGTAGTAGGATGCCGAAAGTAAAATCGAAGAAAAAGTTTTATAAATTAGTTTTATACAGAAAAAAAAATTTTGATAAAGTTTTATAATTTGTAAGTTAATTAGATAGTTAATTTAGTTTACGAAAAGGACAATGTTTAGATTGAAAAAACTCATCTTTTTCATCGTTCCGATATTAGGTTAACCATATTTCGGTATTAGGATTACGCATTTAAGGTGTTCCATTACTCGGTCTTTTAAAGTTTTTCAAAAAACTTTTTTTTAATATTAAATTTGACAAAATTGATAAATTTAATTATTTTCGTGCAACTAAGTGTTTATTCTGTATGATTGGGCAGATTATCATTACTAATGAACCATTTAAATGTTTTTTAAGTAATAAAAACCTATCATGTATACCCTTCGTCGTTCCGGTATTGGGTCTTTTTTTACCTTATCTGACTTCCAAAAAAATTTGAATTAAAATATTCATTTTTTTAAGGTGAAACATTTTATGGCACTGATGTTTCACGGTAGCAACGACAATTTTTGAATACTATTTTTTGTTATCAATTTTTTCTATCAACGGATGCTTATTGAAATCTAAGTTCGAAAATGAAATTTTATGACAAAAAAAAATTGTATGATTAATTTTGTAACATATTTATCAATTAAGGACCATAGTATTAATACGCATTACTTTTAATTTCAAAGCTAGGCCTTAGTGAATGTATTTTCTGAAAGTTTATTTGTTTAAAAAGTGAAAAATTTATACGTCCTCTTGGTATATAAATTTTTTTTTAGAATCTATGAGTGCACATATTCAAAAAATTAATTTTAAATTTTTCTAATGGATCCTTAGATTAGAATAAATACTTATGACTTGGCAAAAAAATGTGTCATTCTCGACACCCTATTATGGCATTAATTAGTGCTGTACAATTTGGCCGGCTTAACCGGCCAGAAAATTTAACCAGGTTATTTAGTTCATTGGCCAGCTGGTTAATCCAAATTAACCGGTTAAACCAATTTAACCGATTAACTAGTTAACTGGTTAAATTAGTTAAACGGTTAATTGATTAACCGGTTAAATGGTTAATCGGTTAAATTGTCAATTTACATTTTCCATTATATAAACAATAAATTATTATTAAATCTAATATTTTTAACATATTTACACTAATATTTATTGATTTTATGTTTTAATTTAAGATAATTATTTGTTATGGATATTTATATAACTGAATGATAATTTTTTTGTTTTTCAACATAATATTATGGGTCATTCCACAACAAATCGACCAATGGTTGGAATCAACCCCTTTCGATTTGGGTAAATTTTGGTCAGAATATTTCTTTTATCATATACTTAACGAAGTTCTGCCAAAGGAAAAAAAATAAAATTTTTTTCAAAAGATATGAAATTTCAAAATTTCGCGATTTTTCCAGTTTTTTTATTTTATTTTTTTTTTTTTTGTAATATCTCAAACGCTATTATACATACAGGAATGGCCTTTTGATTGTTTGAAAGGAGACACTTGGGGCTATTAATAAAAACATTTGGGAAAATATTTTGAAAAATTCTCAATTTTGAATTTTCGGAAATCGTCAAAAATGACGATTGACATTAAAATTTTGACTCAATTTTTTTGGATAATACTTTGTACTAATCTTACAAGATCCTGAAGTTTTTAGAATTGTATTTTTTGTTTTTTTTTTTTTTTTTTTTTTTTTTTTTATGAATTTTTGATTAAAAAAAAAAATTTTTTTTGTTTCTTGCAACTCTAAATAAGGTAAAGTTAAGCAGATGCATAATATTCTAGTTTTGAGCATTAAAAAATCAAATGCACGACATGGAAATATTAAACAATAAATAAATTACAATAACTTTTTTTATTTTTTGAACGTAATCTTGAAGTCAGGCTTAACGTATGATATGATTCATTTTGTCATTTTCTTACTTCATTCAAAGCTGTTGAATGAAGTTGTTGAATAAGACTTATTGTCTTATTAACATGGAAATAATTTGAAATTAGAGATTGAGCAACATTAATGTGCAGAAATTTGTAAGTGAACAAGTATTCGAAAGAACGAAAAAAAAAGTTGAGATTCTCATCACATTATTTCTGATTTTTACTAGAAATTTATATCTTTTCAAGTTAATTGGCGTTAAAAATTGTGATTGAAGTAAAGAAACGGACGAAATATATCATGCGTTAAAAAAATAAGAAATTATATAATAAAAGAAATATTCTTCTGATCAAAATTTATCCAAATGGAAAGGGGTCGATTCCAACCATTGGTCGATTTGACATGGAATGACCCACAATATTATGTTTAAAAACAAAAAAATTATCATTCAGTTATATAAAAATTCATAATAAATAATTATCTTAAATTAAAACATAAAATCAATAAATATTAGTGTAAATATGTTAAAAATATTAGATTTAATAATAATTTATTGTTTATATAATGGAAAATGTAAATTGACAATTTAACCGATTAACCATTTAACCGGTTAATCAATTAACCGTTTAACTAATTTAACCGGCTAACTAGTTAATCGGTTAAATTGGTTTAACCGGTTAATTAGGATTAACCAGCTGGCCGATAAACTAATTAACCTGGTTAAATTTTTTGGCCGGTTAAGCCGGCCAAATTGTACAGCACTAGCATTAATGCATTATTGATATCTAAAAATTCAATTTTTACCGCACCTAGCTCCTATAAATGTTTATTTTATTTATTTATATATTTTATTTTTCGTTCAATTTTGTTATTGCTTATGCTTAAATTCCTTTTAATTTTACGAAGATGAAATAAAATTTTATTAAATTGTTGGATCATTTTTATAAACTATTATTCGTTTTTTCACTATTGTTTAAATTATCAATTAATGAATATCAGCAGAAAAACAATACGCCCAATTAGTTTTAGAATTTTACTTTCTTAAGGCACTCATGAATGTATTTTTAGAAATTTTATCAATCTTTAGTATTAAAATAAAATAAAATTTTTGAGAAAAAAGATACGACTTACTATTATAAAGCAATTATAACAATAAAACTTCTGAAATTATTTTTAGTTTTGCCCACCGTTAGAACCAAAAAGAGGTGTATCAAAAATTGATAGACGAGAAAAGAATTTTTTTCTACGCTTTTTCAGGTCTACAAAATCAAATACATCCTTTTAGTTTTAATATTGCAGTATATAAATCTATGAAATAAAATAATATGATTTACTTCTGAAAAACATCAAAGATACGACAGATCCAAGGACAACACCGCCACCTGAAAAACATTAAGTCAATAATAATCAACAAATTAAAAGTAAACATTAAAATCTACGTTTATAAAAATTTACTGACCCAATTTGATTAGTCCATCGGTGAAACACCGATCCCATTTTCGAGAAATGTCATTTTCAACAAATTCTGTAGCCATTGTGAGTATGATGTAACAAAGATTTACGTATAATCTGCGAACAAGTATGGAAAGATTTACGTATTAAAAAATAACCTAAAAATTATTTTTTAAATATCAAATAAATTAATAGTATACAAGAGTAAAAATTAACATGAAAAAACTGTACGAGTGATACAAGTTATGTTTTATATACCTTCCCCTCCAGCGTGACAACTGTCAATTAAACTGTAGTTAACTATTTACACAATTAACATTGCCAATATCTATAGTATGTGGTGTGATGACTCTAGATCCATCTAGCAGGTGACACTACCACGCAGCTAAGCGCGAATTTGAATATAATATAAATATTTTTTCAATTTACATTTTAAATAGTGAAAATCGTCCAATTTAGAAATTTTAAGCCTTTTGATGTAGAATATTTATTATAAAGAGTATTTTTATTTTTAACAAGTATAATTTATGAGCGAAAACAAAGGAACATTGTATAAAGTCGAGTTCCGGGAAACCTTAGGTATTTAAGACTGCTTGAGGAGACTCTTTGAGGAAAAGTTATCAAAAACACGTGTGAAAAAATTCTATGATCTCTTATTTTTAACAACTAAACTAAATAATAACTTTACCGATATGTACATATGTAGATATATATTTCATGTTTATAGATATACTGGCAATAATAATTTTATCCTGGATAAAATTTTATCTCAGATTGAAAAACTGGCCCCATAGACTCAGCTGCTCAATACAGCCATTCAGTGCTACCAACTAAACTTTTAAACCTAGCTAAGATGACAAGTGAACTGTTTATTATGTACGTTTCTATATATATATATAATATATAATCACTATTTATGATTTTGTTGATTACTGTTTATTACCATTAAACAGTATTAAAAATAGTCTGAATTTATAATATTAGTGAGTTCAAAAACTTTCAAATTAACGATTAACGCCACGATAAATTACGATTTTTGTTTATTTAAAATATTTTGCAGTGCATTACTTTGATAATACTTCAAAATGGTTTGCAAAAATAATTAGATTCATAATATAATTCACTTCTTTAATAAATGTCAAGAATTATTTGAATTTTCATCAAGTAATTACAAATACTCAATAGCTTACATATTTGTAAAACAAATAGTCAAATTTTAGTTAATTGTTGAATGGGCCATAATATGTTTGGAATAAATGAAGGTTAGAAGTTCAAAATAACAAATATTCAATAGAAATATTCTATTTCTGTTCCCCTCGTTGATCCGGAAGATGTCACTTATATCGGATGGAAGGCACCCATTGAAAAGCGGTACAAAGTGGGGGTAAAAAAATCGCACGATCTGGCCACACTGTGTTGGCAAGAAAATAAGAAAATATAGCTTTAATAAATTAGCTTGTGGTGTACGCTTATTAAATTAAAACATATTAATAAAAAGTTATTTGAATCTATAAAATTTTTTGTAATGTAAGTGAAATTTTTTTGTATTTGTAAGACTGAATGAATTGTAATTATTAAGTGTAATTAATGATTAATTTTTTTTTGTTATAAAATTCACGCCATTTCAGTTTATTTAACCAGTTTTCTTGATGCTATCTCTATGTAGTAAAAGGTTCAGTATTCATGAGTGTACAAACTCGCATCACGACTTTACCATTGTATTTATTGCAGCAATATTTGATGGCGTTGGCCGGTAAACATTTTGGCCAGTTTCAGTAATCATTCATATGATTTTGGAGTGTTTGATTAAAAATTAATGTAATATTCTGTAAATTTATATTTAAATATCTGAAAAACATCAATCAGTAAAAATCTATATTTTAATAATATTTAATGATAAAATGCTATTAGCTTTCATTGTTAGATATTGATAGTTACTATTCTTTTAGTATACATTCAATAAAATGAGAGATTGTATTTAAAGTCTGGGATATTAAGCTGTTAACATTTTTTTTGTACTTGGTAGAAAAAAATTGTGATCACTTTACTCTATTTGTTGATCTGTAATTAATTGATAATTTTATTGCATAATTAAATTCTAACTTCAATTATTATTCGTTGTGATAGTTTGTTACAGATTTGAAAATTTATTGCAGTTGAAGAATGGCGCAAAGGTTCCCAGTACCGACTACAAACAATAATGGACCACCGTCCCAAAGATATCCTCCACCAGCTGTACCGCCCAATCTACGTCAATATCCTGGCCCAAACTTTCCGGTATTTAATTTGGTTAATTTGCTATATTTGAAAATCGAAAAATAAGTACACATAATATTTTGATGATATTTACAAATATCAACAAACGAACTGGGTTTAGATGCAACAACGAACTGGATTTACACCACCTCCACAAATGGGCACCGGTGGTCCTGGACCAGGAGGAATAATGAGACCTAATCAATCCTATTCAAATATGAGACAAGGACCAATGACTGCTCCACCGGGTAGTAAAAGGACAGATCAACGTATACCAATATCACAACAGAAACCGTAATTAATTATTATTTTATTTATATTTAGTTTTATTACAATTATTTATCAACATTTTAACAATGTTTATTTTCAAGTATTTGTTTTTGTTAAGTTGATATTAATTTAGTTATTTTTTATTTTTGGCAACTCAAACATTAATATAATACTCTAACAAAAATACACATACAAAACAAGTTTCCAAATTTCTTTTGATTTTTCAAAATATTATTTCTACAAAAACTCATCTAGGTATTTTTGGAACAGTGATTTTTCACATTCCACATCAAAGAAGAAGAAGAAATTGGCTGACAAAATATTACCGCAAAAAGTAAGAGATTTGGTACCAGAGTCACAAGCATACATGGATTTACTTGCTTTTGAACGTAAATTAGATGCAACAATCATGAGAAAGCGTTTAGATATTCAAGAAGCACTCAAACGTCCAATGAAACAAAAGCGAAAATTAAGAATATTTATTTCAAATACATTTTATCCAGCTAAAGAGGCTGGTGAAGGTGAAGAAGGCTCTGTAGCATCTTGGGAACTTCGGGTAGAAGGTCGATTATTAGACGATACAAAAAATGATCCTAATAAAGTTCGTATTTTTCAATAAAAAATATCTATGTACAAGAATCTTTATTGGATATTGATATACATATATATAAATATATTTTACAGGTAAAAAGAAAATTTTCATCATTTTTCAAAAGTTTGGTTATTGAATTAGACAAAGATTTGTATGGACCTGATAACCATTTAGTAGAATGGCATCGTACGTTGACAACACAAGAGACAGATGGGTTCCAGGTCAAACGTCCTGGTGATAAAAATGTTCGGTGCACTATTCTTTTACTTTTGGATTATCAGCCATTGCAGGTATTAAATTATTTAATTTACTAGTAAATTTCTGTAATAATATGTTGAAAAAAGTTTGAAAACCCATGTTACTAAACAGAGTCAATAGATAAAAAAAAAAAGTTATGAATTGTTTTATTCTAACCTGATAATATTCAATTTATATGACCATTAAAATATAGTACCATTAGATAAGTAAAATTTTGTACAGTCAATTTCTTATAAATTCTAATAAATTAAAATATATATTTTTTGAGTAGATAAATATGAGTCAGTTTATAAATTTTATCAAGGAATTCATAAAAATTTTACGAAGACATTCTATTCATTGTTATTTATTATATTGATTAGTCCTAAGTCCGTAGATAGAGATTTTGTGAAGTTTAAAAGGTTTTGGTAAATTTTACTTTATGATAGTTATGGTTTGTTTACTTGTTTAAAATTTTATAGAATTTCGTTCACTTATTTTATTAAATAGAAAGTCCAGTAGATATACATTTAATTACAAATCGTAATTAAATAAATTGTAAAATTCTATAAGATTAATTTTTTTTCTATAATGCATTATGTGCGTTAAAATACTTAGATTTTATCAAAAGTACAAAAGTATAGTAGAAAAAAAAGAACCTCATAGTTATATTGTTTTATAAAAAAACATACGTAAAATTTTCCTCAATAGCAGTATAGTTTTAATAAACTTACTTGGAGCTTCCAATTTAAAACTATTTTATTAGAAAAAAATACGACAAGTTTTAAAAACAAAAGTGATAGTTGTAAGTTAAAAAAAAATTATTCATACTTTAATTTAATTCATGATATGAAAATAAAAAAGACTAACCAAAAAGAATTATTGTTTATCCGGAAAATCTAATAGATAAATAAATCAGATTGAAGCTAGTTTAAAATATTTTTCTTTAACTATGTTTAAAAAATACAATATTTTGCACGACATGATGCGAAGCATCAGAGAGTGCTTTACGATCGAAAATTTTTTTTCGCCTCATTTTGGCAACTATTCTTAGTATTATAACCTTGTTAGTTTACGGAATCAAGATATTTTGCATACTATTGTCGAGATAATTTAATGAAGATTAATTCCATACTTTCTAAAAATTGATTTAGTGCAATAGAAACGGAAAAAAACATCAAAATAGGTCAAAAAAATTTCCTGTCCGTCATGTATGAAACTCCGGAAACACTGTAACTTGTGAAAAAATCAATTATTAGAGTTAAATTTTTTTTTTAAATTCTAATCGACAATTGTAGGTAACCGAATACGAATACGAATGCGAATGGCTAATTCAGTGTCGTTTAATTACAATTAATAAAAAATGAAAACTACAAGGCTGTATATCTATCTATCTATCTATCTATATATATATATATATATATATATATATATATATA